AAATATTATATTTAGGGGTATTTTAAGTAGTTTCAATTTTTTGGAAAAGTCAAAGGTTATTTTGGAATTATAGCTTTTTGTTTGGGTCATTTATTAATATATCCTCCAGGTGGCAGTTGGTTTACACGCGCATACATACAAGAGAAGTGGCGGCTGGAGTGTTGAAAAGAAAAAGGCAGAATACACGGCTAGATATTGAACAAACACAAGGACGGGCGACATAAAGCAAAACTTGAAGAATAAACTTCCAGATTTTTATTATAAATAAAAGGGAATTAATTACTTTTTGTCAATTTATTGATGATGTCATTTAACTTTATTTGTTTAATTTCGACATTGTGCTAGGCTATATTATTTTGTGTTATGATTACTATGAACCTTGTATTATGATCCTTAACTTCTAAATCTTATTTTTGATATTAAAGACATTTTCAATTATTGAATGATAGTCATTGATTTAATTTTCTATATAATTATATGCGTAATAGTTGTACGAGTCTTGTGGCTTATATAATCTTCGAAACATTGAAAATAAGATAAATATAGTGTCAACTATCGTAAAGTTTGATAGAGAATAGAAATATACTGCTATAATTTACGCGATTTTTAAGTATTCACATTTTTAATTCATTTTTATATGTTCGCATCCATCATAAAAATATAATCGAGTTACAAGTAAAAATAGATTTAATTCTACTTGAGGGAGATCGTTGAATTTATTAGGAATATTGATTTTCATACTTGAATCGTGTTGACAAATTTGTAAGTTTCACGGCGAAAAAGAAATGATATAAGGGGATTTGAGATCCTAATACACTTTTCATCATCATATTTTTATAAAACTTGCATTTTATTTATAATAGTGTATTGATTTTAATTAATTTAGATTTTATATTCATAAGTAGATTATTTAATTTATAGGAAAAAAAACACAAATTTCAATTGTTTCGATTAAGGTTAAGTTAATTCGAATTTGAACTAGTACAATCTTTGTGAAACGATACTTGGACTCAAAATCAATTTTACTACTTATTAACGAACCGTACACTTACTGTATTTAAAACAAACTATTTTCGTAACATTCATGCACATGGGTCCGACAAATTCATGCCGCATCAGTTACCGCATCACATGGTGTAATCCCGCATATAGATAAATAATTTTTTTCTTTTTGCGTGGTGTTCATCATGTCCACAACTCCTTTTGCTGTTTAGTTACTAATTTTATTTTACATCCAGTACTCTGGTCCTCTCTATCAAATAAACTCATAATGTGGTAATAACATCTTTTAACCACGTTTATTACTTTTTCTAAGATAGTATAAGACTTGTTTTATCAACTTTTCCATGACTACCATGGCGTATCCGTGTCCAAGAAATTTTTGCAAGTTCAATCACCGACGGATCCAACACCCGATAAGGCTCGGGGGTCACTCGTGCTGACTCCATCGACATCAATTTTTTTTCTTTTTTTCTTTTTTTTAGGCTAGACAGCGGGCTTCTTTTGTGGATATTGATCAAAAAAGTGGGGGAGAAGAGAGGGTAAGAGAAAGAGGGGTGGGTGGGAAAAGTGAAGATATCAATAATTGTCTAGAATGATAAGAAAAAAATATCTGTATTGGAGAGATATTTTAGTAGTTGTTTACTTTTCTTTCTTTATGTTTCTGAAGAAATGTGTCATTCTTTTGCGGCTCTATAATTGCATAGCGGCTGCTATTATTGGATGAAGTTATCTGTGCTGGGCGTGACACGCAAAGGCCAAATAATTCGTACTCTTTTTTTTTTTTACTTGCTTGATAAATGTTTTCCTCCCTCGTATGCGATTTTCAACAGGGTGGTAATTCTGATGATTAATTGAAGGGTCGTTTGTGTTAAATTTGTGTGCCAAAGTTTCAGCGTAGATATTTAATTGGGTGTAGAGGCCTAAATTTTTTTATAGGCTTCATTTGAGTTTGCAGTTGTTTATGTGGCACGGAGGAATTATGTGTTTGGTGATTTATTTAATATGCTTGCTATTAGAATTATGGTGTAATTCGAATTTTATTTGGAATGTTATTTTGAATACTATTCGAAATCTATTTAGTAAATTTTAGTTGAAATTCTATTTGAAAGTCCAATTGGAAATTGGAATATGTGTTGGACTTAAAGATATGAAGATATAGACCAATGATAAATTTTGGTATTTTTTCGCTCCTCAGGCACATGCACGCCATCAACTGTTCCATAAAAAATTATAGTTCTAGTATTACCATAATCAAGATTTTGGCATCTTTCTTTTTTAATACTTTTCACTCGTGTTCACAAGCCTACTTACTAGACATGTTAACGATGGGCATTTGGGGAAGGGAGAAAGTAGGGATATAGAACAAATTACATTCCGTGAATTTGTCAGAATCGTAAAAGTGTAGATACGCTATAATAGGAGCTCGTCTACAATCGAAAAATGGCATATTAGGCCTCAGGCCGATGTCAGTTTAAGTCATGTTGTTTGTGGGCATCGTAGTTTGTCAAGCCTTATCACGGGAATAGTAAAGCTTAGCTAGACACTCGAGCGTCAGGGCGGCACCCACTTAGCGCTCGAGCGCCATATTTATACGGTTCGGACCCTTTTTCGCGTATTACACATTTTGAGCATTCCTTTCCATCTATAACTCTACTTTTAGGGCTTGAAACGTCTCCTATATATATTCAGCTCTTTATTGTAATTAAGAATAAGTTAGACAAATTACAAATACAAAATAATTGTATTCTTTCTTCATATTTTAGTGAAATCTCAATTAATCTACTAATTATTTTATTCTTGTGTTTATAATCAATTACTTCATATTGTATCATATTATTTTTCTCACCTATTATCACAACAAATTGGTATTTAAATTATCCGATATTTTCTTCGTTGCTTATAACAAATTGGTATCAGAGATTAGATTTAACTCATAGGGAGATTTTTTATTTTTTTTTGGGATGGAAACCATGAAATATGATATTCCACTTTTAGATCGCAACAATATATTTTTGTTGTGTAAGTAAAGATGCGACCAATACTTGTTCAGATGGATATGGACGATGCGTTGTTGGGATTTGACAAGATGCCCACAATTTGGAATTATGAGGAGAAACAACGTATGAGATCGAAAGGCCTAATCACAAATTCATATTCATTTTTTGAATTACATTCTTCAAGACATCTTGAAGGAAAATTCCACTGCTTCGTTATGGTTAAGATTTGAGCAATTGTACATGACTAAGAGTCTTACTAGCAAATTGCACCTGAAGCAACCATTTTTTCTCAACGTAGCTGTGTTTAAGGAAATGTTACTGATCTTAAAACCTTGGAAGTTAAATATGATGAACAAGATATGGGTTTGATTTTGTTGTATTCGTTGTCCACTTCATATACTTCATTTAGAGACACGATCCTATATAGTCGTGATACTCTCACCATTAATGATATTTTATGATGCTCTTTACTCAAATGAGAAGGTAAAGCATCTCGTTCGAAATGAGGCTCATAGAGATGGTCTTATTGTTGATGGTAGTTCTGAAATGGACAAATTAATGCTTAACTTCATAAATAAAATTTGTAATTACGGAAAAGTACCAATTATATGTCTTACAAGAATCTTCAAAATCTTTGGTCAATCAACATAAATTTGGAGCTCATGTGGATTGTGAGTTTGTTTTAATATCGTCGGAGTTTTGTTTGGGGTCTACTTTGATAAATACATTTAAGTCAAGTTTGAAAGTTACGGATAATTTCGCTTTGCCACCATTACCAGTTGTGCTATTATATTCAATTTCTAGAAACGGACTAGTTTTTGAGAATATGCTTCCACATAGTTACAAAGATGTTGATTTAGTTAATTTTGTTTTGTTTATGGTTGAAGGTGATGATTCTGGCAAAGATCATTCAGTTGAGAAGTATCTCACGGTGATTCTATCACAAAGCTTGTTTCAACATTGTTTGGTGATTGTTAATCACGTTTAATTTTGTTGCTTGTGATTTGAGCAACTTTGGAATCTAAATGTGTTCTTGGGATTTATATTACTCAACTTTTTGACTTTGAACCCATTTGAGTTTTGTGGTAGAGGTAGAGAATATTTCCAAGTTGGAAATTTGGATAGAAAAGTTCGTTTGTACTTTTTATTGAAGAATTGAAGTTCATTCCTTGCATTAGAGTTTTGTCTTCAGGTGGAAAATCTTTGAAATTTACTCATTGCAGTGGAATTCTTGCTAAGGTAGAGTTTGTTAAAATTAGAGTGTAACTGGAATTCGATTTTGAAGATAATTGGTAATTCTAATTAAGATCGATATTAAGAGGAATTCTATTTGTTGGAATGCTTTTGGAATCCTATTCAAAGTCTATTTGACAAATTCTAATTGAAATTCTATTTGTGTTGGACTTGAAAATATCAAAATATGGATCAGGAATGACTTTTCGATGCAATTATACTCGCTTGATGCTCGACTGGAGCTCGAGCGTCGGGGTGCCGCCGCCTGGCGCTCACTTAGTGAAATCTCTATTTCTTTGCCAATTATTTTATTTTTGAGTTTGTGTTCAATTATTCATGTTGCGTCATATTATTTTTCTTGCCTATTATCACAATAAATTGGTATTGGAATTATCTAATATTTTCTTCGTTGTTCGTAACATAAAATAATGCGAAAATGAGCTTAAGATCAACCAATTCTAGAATTTCAAAATTGTAGGCTACAATTTTTAGAAGGAATGTATACAATGTAAATATATGAAAGTTACACATGATGTTGAGATTGATGTACAAATTGATGATGTTGATTATATTAACTAACTTCATTTTCTTTCCTTTTTTTCTTTGTACACTCCATCCTTTTTGACATTTGATGTGTCATTAAAATTGTTGGAGGGAAAATTGTTTATTTTTTTAAACTGTTAAATGGTGTGTTGTCTCGTAATAAAGTGTAAACGATGATATACATGTAACATGCTTGTTTTTTTCTTCTTTCTCTCTATTTCATATCATCATTATATCTGTATAGAATGATGCACAAATAACATTACTCTAAATTAAAAAAAAAAATGTAATCCAAATAACACTTCTGTGCCAAAGTAAATATATGCACCCAATTTTGGGCACTTCTGTGCCAAAACGAATTTACTGGGGGCCTAAATGTTGTACTTCCAAAGTTAGAGACCCCCTTCTAATTTTCTCAAAACGAAATTGTGATCCAAATAACAGACACCGATTGATCTCTAAACTATGCATCCCCTTAGTCATTACCTCTAACCTCTTTCTCTCTCTAAAAGAATTTCGTTAGAGTTTTGTCGAAGGGGTTTGAATCGATAATTCATATTAATTTCGTCCAATTCGCTTCAGATCTGTAAAGAAAATGTATGGATTCGAAGCCCTGACCTTCAACATCCATGGGGGGTTCCTGGAGGCCATCGTTCGCGGCCACCGATCTGGGCTTTTGACCGCCGCCGATTATAATAACCTCAGCCAGTGCGAAACGCTTGAAGATATCAAGATGCACCTATCCGCCACCGAGTACGGGCCTTACCTCCAAAATGGTCCGTTATTTGTTCCCTCTTTTATTCTTAAATAATCGAAATTTAATTTATGTTTTCGGAGATTTGGTTTATTTGATGAATTATAAACACGAAATTGTTGAAATTTAGGGATTTTTTTAGCTAATTTATTGAATTAACTGACAATTGGATTCAAGTTTTTGTTTTTGCAGATATTTGATTTCTGGACTATGTAAGTGTAGTTGAAATTGTTGGTCTATAGTTTCAGAAGTAAATTAAGTGTTTTAACTAATAATCTGATTCAATCATTCTCATTTGAATATAATTTGAGTTATTTAATCAACGTTTAGCTGTTTCTACGAGACTCCTGATGTTAGTCTTTGTAGATTCAATTAAATGTCACATAGCTCATAAATTTTTCTATGTACTAGATATTACTGTGTATGTGAGAAAGGATTATTGTGTTATCAAGGAATGTGTTGCATATCCTTTTTTATACTTTCATCTTGATGGAACATTTTTCTAAAGGCTGCTTTTAACTCTATGAGTTTTACATTTTTCTTACATAAAATATCCATAGGTTAAAACAGGTTTATTTGGGTGTTGAGGCATTTTATTTTTGTGAAGTGAGGCGTGAGCTTAAAAACATGTAACAAAACAAATTAGCAAAATTAAAAGTTTAACTTGCAAAAAAATATAAAATATATTGACAAGTTAGCAAATAATAAGTTCATAGTTAATAATCATGAAACAAAATTGCAATAATACTAAGAAAAGTAGAAACAACTTAGAAATCATTTACATTAGCACTATTAACGTAATATTAAATGTTTAAGGCAATCATCAACATCATGTTCGTCGTCACTGTTAGTTTTTTCTCATTCTTCGTCATCAACCTGCACTAGCATACATGTATTCTTCTCCCTTTTCATTTTTATTTAATGTACAGAAAAAGGAAAATAAAAAAACCTATTACAATGAAATAGCCACAAAAGCTAAGGTTAGTAATAAAATGTATGGAAAATGCAAGACAAATGGCTGAACTCCTTAGCCCCCTTGAATCTTAGCCTTGATGTGTAAACTCAAAATGGAATAGGATGAATAAGCTTTGAGGTGTTTTATATGTAAGCCTCAAATTAAGTGGGATTCGAGTCATAAGTCTCAAATTAGTTTTTTTTAAACAACGAAAAAATCAGTTACGGTGGATGGAATCATGTTGAGTATCTATAACTACAGCAGATAAGTTAAATATTACAAACTAGATAGGTTTGGTTCTATGCTGTAGCTTGTTGTGAAGCACTACAAATATTATGAGATTGGTAGGTGTGTCGAACTTGAAGCACTTTGATGATTTTGGTTGTTGCATTGACTTACAGAGCCCTCTCCGTTACATACAACTACAATAGTAGAAAAGTGCACTCTTAAACTGGTCGATGAGTACAAGCAAATGCTATGCCAAGCCACAGAACCCCTATCAACCTTCTTAGAGTATATCACGTATGTAAATTTCTCCCATTCTGCTAGCATGTGTGTAGTTGTATACATATTTGTTTATTTCCGTTTACTTGTATTTATGACCATATTTTTGTATGCATATAAAAATAATTCTTAATGCCTTCTAAGTACTCTTGAACTAGTCTCTGAGATATAATGACAATCTCGTATTATGCCAGAACTGAAAGGGAAAGTAGTTTCTTGCCAATTACAGGCCAAGATATAATGACATGTGAAGCTATATGCTATAATAGCTAATTTGGATGAAGAAATTTAAAGCATCCTCCCTTGATGCTTTCTTGAAGTGCAAATTGTTGGCTACTCATGTAAACTTGCAGAAAGTATGTCCACTTGACAAATAATGTTGTGATAGGTATAAGCGATTGTGTCTATCAAGTTTATTTTGCAACTTGCTTCTTGTGGCATAGATAGGATGGAATCTTTCTGCAGTATCCTTATATCACTCATGTTAAATGAAAGTAGAAATTTCATTGTTGACACAGATTTTTGCATATTGTTCAGATATGGTCACATGATCGACAATGTTGTGTTAATTGTCACTGGAACATTGCATGAGAGAGATGTTCATGAGTTGTTGGAGAAATGTCACCCGTTGGGAATGTTTGACAGGTAATATGTCTTTATTCAACATTTTGTGCTCTACATAAAAGCAATGAAAAAAATTTCCATTCATTTCTACAGCATTGCTACCCTGGCAGTTGCTCAGAATATGAGGGAGCTTTACAGACTGGTGCTTGTTGACACACCCCTCGCTCCATATTTCTCTGAGTGCATAACTTCAGAGGTACCAGGTCCAGTTTAATGTTGTTATTATAATAGAGATGAAGATATCAGATTTTACTGAAAATAGTACAAGTAGATTTCACTTATCAAAGGAATAGAAAATAGTACGAGTAGAATGAATATATTTCAGCATGTATTAAGTTACAATCAACTCTTCTTGTTAGTTAACACCGAGCAAAACCAAGGTTTGGAATGTTAATGGGGTTCTATTCAGGGGTGGAGCCAGGATTTTACTTTGGACTGGGCTGGAATTTTAAAAAAGTTAATATACTAATAAAAAATATATATATATATATAACTGGAAGAGTCATAGTACAAAGTCACCTACTGACGCTTCAAGGCTCAAGTGAAGCGCCATAATCCTTAGCACCATGACATTAAATCAACCACAAAGGGAAAATCCTAGCGCAAAGTATGTGCTTTGTGTAGCCTGTAGAAACTTCAAATTGTGCATGATATTGGAGCAAGCAAGTTATTAATTAGAGCAATGACAACATATGTTACAAATCAGCATATTGGAGCAAGCAAATTTTTAATTAGAGCAATAACAACATATGTTACAAATCAGCAAAAAAAAAAAAAAGTTACAATAAAGTTCATAAATATTAAATTATTAATTGGTAAATAAATACTGAAAATAAACAAAAAAAAAATATATAAGCACCTTTTGGTAGAGGCAGTGCTATCGGTTACGCGGTTGGTAGTAGGGGTGAGCATGGGTTGGGTTGGGTCTATTTTTTCCCTAACCTAAATCCAACTTACCATGGTCGGTTTGATCTAAAATCAACCCAACCCGATCAAGTTTCGGTTTGGGTTGGGTTGTTCGGCAATAAACGTTAAATTCAATAACATTTTGTTGAATTTAGACAATTTTTCAAAGTTTGAAATAACTTGAAAACCTTTATTTATTTGAATTCAATTACTTTTTGTTGAATTTAGATAATTTTTCAAAGTTTGAAATTACTTGAAAGCCTTTAGTTATTTTTAACACACATATAAGGAATTCTTCTGAAAAATAAAGTATAAATAAGTTTAAAATTATGAAATATTTTCTTTTTTACAATTTTTTAGGATTCATTATTTCATCATCATATCCTTAATTTTTATTTTATCGTTAAATAATTTTGCATTTGTGCATAATATTCATATCAATCAGTTTATGTGAAAAAAGTGGTCATTTATAAATTTTAAGTCCTCTTATCTTCACCATTGTGTCTATTTAAATTTTTTTTTTTGAAATATTGATTTTTTAAATTTATCGTGTTGGGTTGGGTCGAGTTTTAATTCATAACCAGAAACCCAACCCAACCCAATTGAACTTAAAAACCAATTGGGGAGGGTTGGGTCGAGCGGTTTGGGTTGAGTTTTGCCCAGCCCTAGTTTGTGGGTTGTCGGCGCAAGATGATGATAGAGAATGTTGAAATTGGAGCAACAAACATGAGGTCATGGAATCAATAAAAGAAGGTTAAATACTAAATCATTTTTCATACGTTGAAAAAAAAAATTATATCATATTAGCAATAAGATGTGTAATATCTTTTGATGAAATAATATATCACAATTCTTCTAACTTTTAATTGAATAATTTCTATCTTTTTTAAACTGTTGGGGAAACTTTGAATTAAGAAAAGTGAAAAAAAATTAGGGTTGAGAATTTGGAAATTGAAATTGAATTTGGGCAGATGAATAGAGTTGGGGAATGTAGCAATGAAATTAGAGATTGAACTAAGGTTTAATTTAGGGGATGAAAATTGAAATTGGAAGTGAAATTTATGGCATTGGGGGGATGGTTTATGGCTATAGGCTATGAGTTAAATGTGCAATTGGGTATTGGACTGAGGGGCTGGGTGAACTAATTTAAGTTTGGGTTTCACTATAGTTGATATGATGTGAGCCATAGAATTAAAAATAAGTTTTTTTTATATGGATTTTGCAACTGGGCTGGGACAGGCCTATATTCTCCCCTGATTTTATTCTAAGAAACACATAAACTTGTAAACTTATTGCATACACATATCTGATATGTATCTATGTTTCGATACGCTTGGATACTCCTTTTTTAAAATTATTTTCTCTTTTAATTTTTTAAAATTTTCAATTTGCATCAAACACATTATGGTACGTGATGAAGAAGGGTTTTATTAGTTTTAATCTCTTTTAAAACTCATTATCATTGACAATATATGACAAAGCAGTTTTATTAATATATAACTTTTGTCATTATCAATAACTTATTGAAATTAGATAGTATTTATTAATTAACAATTTGAAAGATTGTAAACATTTTAATTTACACATTGTTGAAAATATATAGTATTAAATTAATTAACAACTAGAGTTTTATTATTGAAAATAGACAATAGTATTAAACCCTTGTTTGAGCGAAACACATTTTTCTCTTTCTTATTCTCAACCACACATTTTCCAATAAAATAATATTACACGTAAGCCAAGACTTTACCTTATTTTTTAATCATACATTTTCCAAAAAGATCACTAATCCAAAATATATTTTTCCCCAAAACTTATTTTTAATGCAGCCCAAACAGGGGCTAAGAGCTTATTTGAGCCCAATTTTAATGTATAATGTATTTTGAAATAGTAGATTGATAGAGAATGTATGGAAAAAAAAGAAAAAGTTTTGGGTTTGCGTGTAATATTATTTTATTGAAGAATGTGTTGTTAAAAAAAAGGAGAAAAAAATGTATTTTGAAAATAATGGGAATCAAAGAAGGGCTAAATCTTTTATTAAATATAAAATCATGTCAATAGTTGACGACTATAGTGTTATTAATGGAAATAGATAATAGTACTAAAACTTTTAATATATGTAAAATTTTGTTGATAATTGACAATTTTAATTTTATTACTGGAAGTAGATAATAGTATTAAAACATTTAATAAACACATCTACATGTACTAACTTTTTAAAAAATTGTATTGGCGAGCCCGTATCGTATTCGAATTTCATATCCGAATCCGTGCTTCTTAAGTTCTATTAATGTTGGTTGTTTTCTCTGTCGACCTCCTCTTTATATGAATATTTTCTAGGACTTGGATGACATGAACATTGAAATTATGAGGAATACTCTCTACAAAGCATACCTTGAGGATTTTTACAGATTTTGCCAGGTAAACCTTTCATCCCTGAATTTTAAAGAAACGTTTGCCTTCTAGTTATGTTCTGTATCTTTCAGTATTTCACATTCTCCTTTTCGTTACTCTAGTCTAACATGAAAGTTTTCAAATAGAAAATTGGTGGTGCCACTGCAGAGATTATGTCAGACATCCTAGCTTTTGAGGCTGATAGAAGGGCTGTTAATATCACCATAAACAGGTAGCGTCACTATTAGAAATTATTGGTTTGGTGCTTTTAAGGTTCTCATAATGCATTTCTTTTTTACCCTTTTGTATGATTTTCAATCTGTAGTATTGGCACTGAGCTTACACGAGATGATCGTAGAAAATTGTACTCTAATTTTGGCTTACTGTAAGAGCTTCTGCATCTGTTTTTCCTTATTTAATTTATTTAATAACTATGAATTCTTGGAACTTCTTTTTCGTGGAAACTGATATTAGTACAATTATTAATTAGTTATCCCTACGGTCACGAGGAACTCGCTATCTCCGAGGATATAGATCAGGTATGTCAAGTCAATATATCAGAAATAAGTGTGAATTATGTTGAAGTTATGCTCTTTTTGTGGGTTAGTTCAGGGTAGTATAGTTCTAAAATAGTGGTTCATTCGCTCCAAATTCCACCCTACTATGGTATAGTAAAACTATCCATAGTCAGTTATGAACATAGTTGGTGATAGATTTTCTAGCGGGTAAACCTATTTCTTATTTTATGCTATTTTTCTTATAATCTTCGGTTACACGAAGATGTCTTTGCTTTCACTAAATCCTTGATTCTTTTCCTTGCCTGAGAAACTGATCAACATCGCCCTGAAAAGCATATCCTTCAGAATGAAGATTGGAGGTGTTAATTGTTTGAAAGGTGTCATTATATTTATGTATGATGTACAAATACCCCAGTTAGAAGTTTCTCTTTTCAAGAAATGTTGGATGAAAGGTGTAGAATGATGCCCTATTGAAGAGATTTTTTTTTTCTTTTTGTTTGTTGTTATAGGTAAAATAAATTATATTGCCAAAAGTGTCAAGTGAGGTGCGTTATGGTACATGGACTTTGTAGTATATTAGAAAAGTGAAACCGAATAGGAGTTTATTTATTCTTTTTGCGGGTGAGTTGTTGAGACTGTAAAACCTACAGAAGAAAAGAGGTGCTCAGTTCTGTGGTAGTTGGACAATAAGGAGATTCTGCTTCTTATTGGTGATGATTGAAAAGTGCCAATTCTGAAAGGCTTTTGCATGATCTTTTTTTTATGAGTTAACTGTAAGAGACAGATTGAAGCCAGCCGAGAAGGGGCGTAACGAATGTGAAAAATGAGTTTTATAAATGGGGGAGTGGTGGAGTTGCAAATTTATAGAGTTTGCTTAGGTCAGTGGCCCATTGAGTTGTGCATTTGTTTGTGCTGTGTGAGCAATTGTATGGCTTTATTCTATTTGATCCATGTCCTTCTATTTTAGCATTGGAGGATGGATATTTATTTTTTTCAGCCTGAAGCTTTTCATTTTCTATAGTACCTGCAATTGGCTTGTTTTACCTGGTTGTGGCAGTTTGTAATAATTTGTTCAACTATTATAGGTCCGTGCTGTCATGGAAAAGTATCCTCCTTATCAGTCCATATTTTCAAAGTTATCCTATGGAGAAAGCCAGATACTTGACAAAGCCTTCTACGAAGAGGAGGTGAAACGGCTTTGTTTAGCATTTGAGCAGCAGGTTTGTATCTAAGAGATAGAAATTAAAATTGAAAATTATACACTTAGGAAAGAATAATTAGGTTTTTCTAAGCCTGATTATTTTATTATTTTCTGCAAACAACTATTCACACATCTATTTGGTGCTTTATTTATTTATGAATAATGTTATTTATCATTATAATGATGAAATATCGGTGATGTGACAATCTATGGGAATAATGGTATTGAACAGTTCAATTTTTATGAGAGAGAGGAGGAGAGAGAGAAATGTGAAGGATAATGGGTTGTCACATCACTGATGTTTCATCATCATGATCATAAATAGCATTACTCTTTATTTATTATTATTATTTTCAATTTCATATGATGAATTGATTATCTGTATTCTTTTGTCATTGCAGTTCCATTATGGTGTGTTTTTCGCCTACATGAGGTTGAGGGAGCAGGAGATCAGGAACTTGATGTGGATATCTGAATGTGTTGCTCAGAACCAGAAGTCCAGAGTGCACGATAGTGTAGTTTTCATCTTCTAATTTCTTCAAAACTATTTTAGAACTTTACACTCTTTCGTTGTTTGGAAGTTTTGTTGCATTTTGAAGGGAGTATTATGCTGCATTTCTTACCATTCAGAATAAGTTGTGTGATGGATGTGTAAGTCGGAGGGAGAAAACTTTTGTCTATTTGTGTATGTTAGTTTATTTATCCAAACATATAATTAAGTGATGGATCATAGTCGGAGAGTGAAAACTTGTGTTGATATTTATTATTGTATGTTATTTTATTTATCCAAACATATAATAAAGTGTTGGCATATCTCTTATTTTGCACTAGTTTTAACCTTTGGTAGTTCTCCAATTTCTTTTATGGAAGATTTCAATCTTTGCTAACTGTTACGGTAGATTTCACATCCATAGTGGGTGATGAGGTTAGAGGTGTAAAATGAGTTCTGCACAAAGTTTTTAAGGTGGCCCGGTCGTGCATAAAATTTCATGGGCCTGGCATGGGTTGATTTTGCCCAAGAAGGATTTTTCGAAATGATGGCATATGTGTTTTTCCAGTCCATGGCCAGGTTGCACCTGGCTGGACAGTGGACGGTGCCTAGAGTGGGCGGAACAAGTTTGGGTGGTTAACCACACTTTTTGATACACCTAGGTGGAGAAATACTAATAATTTGGGAAGATTCGAAATCACTACTGTTTCTCTCGATTTTGATTGACCAACTGATTTTGTTTTGGAAATTCATTTGATGTTACATATCACCTTCGACACAAAAGGAATAGGAAAAGACAAAAGACTAAAGATTTTGGAAAAATCAACTTGGTTATGTATAAATTTATCTCTTTGCGGGTTTTCTAAAATTTAGGTGTGATTTTACATTTTGAGGAATAATGGCATAGTATGATTTATTATACGACTTGTAAAAGTATGCATCAACCCTTCACTCCGATGTATGATTACATAGTTGTATAAACAGCCATGTCAAATGTCTCTCTTAGACGTGTGATTTGCTCGATCATGAACAAGATAGACTTGAATGTACATAGATTCGAGTGCTATATGTACTAAAATTTGATATTTTCGGAAATTAGTTATTGAGAATCAAAGATGTAGGACACTTGAAGAGTCCAACAAGTGTAGAAATAAAGTTGAACCCTTCCCTCGTGAAACCATATTTCCTTGAAGTTTAATTAGAATACTTTGATTTTTACAAATGAAATACAATAATGTTTTACCTTCTATGCATATTTGATACGAATAAACAATATTCAAATTGGCTCATTACATCATATTTTTAATCTTTTTTTTCGTATTTTCGTGTAGCACTAAGTCTTTCTTACCAAAACATATCCTCATTGGCTCATTCCATCATGTTTAGCCCATGTTTAATAACCATTAAAACAATTTTTTTTTAAAATCATTTTCAACCATACATTCTCGTAATAAAATATTCTGCATGTAAATTCAAAATTGTTTAATACTTTTGAACCACACATTTTTCAAAAATTACTATTTTAAAAATCATTTTTCCCAAAAAAAATCATTTTAATAGTTGTCCAATAGGTACTTAAACGGGTAGAATATATAAGTATTGAAATGTGGTTCAATTCCATTAGAGTTAATCCATTTGTACATTCATTCTTGACATCCCAGATGAAATTCCCCATATGTATTGAAAATATGGTCATTGATTGAAAAAAGTGTTTTTAAAATCAATGTATAAAAATTGACAACTTGTATGATGTCAAACTTGATATACATGNAAAATTGACAACTTGTATGATGTCAAACTTGATATACATGTAGTAAGACTCGGATTCACAAAACTGAAATTACAACTTCTAAGATACATGGTCACCCCTAACATTTCTTTTTCTTAAGTTTTTTTTGCCATTAAAAACAGAAATTATATAAGTAAAATTGTGATAAAGTATATGGTTAAATTCGAATAAATACTATAAAAATGAAATAATAGATATATACACAAAATTATGTTAAAACATTATTATATGTAAACAATTATCTTATTATAACAGTTTAAATAAGATGACAAAATATGGACAATTAACAGAAATTATCTCTTATCTATGGTGGGTAGGATAAATCATGCTCATCACTGACATGCCATTGGTTAAGTCTACAATTTTTGATAAGTCAACGTTGAAAATTGTCAAAAAGTGCAAACTGACAGCTAACTTGGCTAAGATAACTTCTACCCACCATAGATTGTAGATCATTTATGTGATAGTTAAACAATAAAGCTGCAAGTACAAGGTTTTTCTACAAAATTTGAATAGGATGCTCACGTGGCAGTACCCTGTTTGCCTTTTTTTTCTTCTTCCAATGAAAACCTTCCAAGTGTATTTTCTGTTGATTTTTTTTTTTTTTTTTGTACTCATAGTGCTGTTCATAGTTAAATGGACATTCTTTTGCTTTCATACAAAGCTACTAACAATGAATAAAACCATATACATGCAGTTGGGAAATACTACAATGTATGCAACCCTTAAACCATACTAAGGGTTTATTTGTTTTTTATTCTCAAATTCTATAGTAAATGAATTCTCATTTCCAACCACACATTCTTTAATAAAATAATATTTTTCATCACATCAATAATTTTTTCTTCCTTTTCAATCACACATTTCTTATCATATCACTATTTAAAATCAATTATTCCCTCAAAAATCCCTACCAAACAAGCACTATGTACCTATAGCATCACTCAAAAATTTATTGATTGAAAAAATAATTTGTCTTTCAAATTGTATAATGACAACATTGTACACAAAAAATGGTCGCAAAGTTTAATAGTGTGTTTGGTAGGGATTTTTGGAGGAAGAATTGATTTTTGAATAGTGATATGATGGGAAATG